TTTAACATTCAAAATATACAACCAAACTAGTCCGGACCCAGAGATCCGGACCCTAACTCATACTATGCAAACATAAATTAAAACAGCATTCTATTAAATAAAGAAAACTTACAACTTCCGTAAAAGCGGAATAGAACAGATCTGGAGTCAAATCCTCCGAAAATATCCCAAAACAATAACTAAGACTAATATACAATGAATTTTTAGCAAATGGAGGAAGAAAACCCGAAAAGGGGTTGAGAGTGGTTGATAAAAATGAGAAGAATCGTGCTGTATTTATAGGAACGAATCCAAGGCGTCCAAGTCCAAGCGTCCAGATCTGGACGCCTGAGCTGTCCCGGCCAACCAGATTTTGCCACGTGTCATTCTTGGGCTGCAATTAAGCCAAAGCGTCCAACTCCCAAGCGTCCAAGTTGGACGCCTTGAGGCCTTGGTCCGTTAGGCTTCGCGGCTGTTTCGTGATTTTGGCCCAATTTCGCTCTGTTTTGGTCCCGAACACTGTTCTTGACCTCCCGGAAGCTCGTTCAAGCCCGAATCTTGATCCCTTGATGATTTATTCCCTTTTTCTCAAATACTTGAACAAAAATGAATGATTTATGATGATTTCATGTGGAATCCCATTTTATGATTCTTAGAACGAAAATGAGAGTTTTATCCATTAAAATCACATTTTATGAGATGATTAAATATTATTTACGTGCAATAACGTTTAGAATATGATGTAAATGATAAGAACGAAATGGACTTATCAAATTCCTCACACTTAAACGTTGCTTGCCCTCAAGCAACAAATTGAATAAGTATAAGTATAAAGACAAATTAATAATTGCAGAGGGAAGGGTTAAGCTATATATTATGAAGGACAGAAGGAATGAGATAGTCATCAACCTTTTTGTTAAGAATAAATGAACCTTTAGATTCTCACCCATGTTGTTCGAAATGTAAAAGAATTTTGTCAAACCAATATTTTTACACCAACCAAAATTTTCCAAACTTTCCTTGGGATAACTACATTTGTAAGAGTACTTTAAAGATCAAATAATTTTTTTTTTAATGGCTAAATTGGAAAACATGTTCTTGCAAAAATATTTGTCAAAGCGTAAGGGTTTAATTTTCTTTGGCATAACTTTGTCATGTTGACACAAGAAAAATTTATAACCTCATCCCATGACATAGAACCACGAGCTTTTTAGATATTCACTCTGGAAAGTCTCATCACACGACATAGAACCGCATGCTTTTTGACTCAAACACTCAAAAGGCCTCATCACGCAATATAGAACCACGTGCTTTTTGGCATACTCACCACGCCTCATCAATTGACATAGAACCAATTGCTTTTTGGCTAAAACAAGAATCTCGGTCTCACCAAAGTATGCTTTGAAACGTCACCCCTTATACCTT